GATCCTGATGCTGGGAAAGACTGAAGGCAAAAGGAGAAGGGGACGGCAGAGGATGAGATGGTTGGATGGCATCACTGACTTGGACATGCATTTCAGCAAGCTCGGGGAGTTGGTGATGGACAGGGAGGCCTGGCCTGCTGCAGTCCATGGCGTCGAAAACAGTGGAACACAACTGAGTAACTGAACTGAACCGATGACTGGGAGCTCAAGATGCAGAGAAAGCTGGAGCAGAGGGCAACGAGATCTAGACTTGGACCCTGATCGATTCCCTAGACTCTGTTCATCCCTTTTCCCCATGAGGTCATGTAACGCTATCACACTGAGTCTGGGAAGACTCTTGAGCTGGAAAGTTGAGATGGGCAGGATTTCAATTGGCAGAGAAGAGCATCAGTGAAGCAGAGAGTAAGCACAAGGAGTAGTGTGGAGGGAGGAAATGAGTCTGGCAGGAAGAGGGACACGCCTGGGCGTGCTGGTGGCCAGCCTGGCCTGGCTGGGGCAGAGGATTCAGGCTGGGGAATAGTAGGAGACGAAGATGGTTCTTGTGTCATAGCCCAGGCCCCCACTGGTCAGGGTGAGGCTGGCATGACAGCTGAAGGAACTCCAGCCTCAGCAGGGATTGGGACATAGCAGGATCTGGGACAGCCACAAGGAGCATCAGGGACAAAGGTGACCAGGGCAGTGGTCTCCTAGGCTCTGGAAAGTCTGGGGAGTGAGGTTCCAGGCAGAGCCCTTAAGTGAACTCAGCCCCAAACCTGATTATAAAGACTGGGTATGATCAATGATCCGAGTACAGAAATCAATGAATATGGATAAATAATCCCATCTATTTTTTTGAATGCATATGTCAGGCATTCTAGGCACCCGGGTACACTGGTGAACAGTTCATAAGAGCTTACATTCTATCACAGGAGACAGAGTAAACAAATTATAAAATTAAATGCCAAAAAAATAATAAAATTAAATTAAATGTTAACTGCTGTCGGATCAAACTATAACAAGGTGGGACTTCCCCGGGTGGTCCAGTGGTTAAGACTCTGCGATTCCAATGCAGGTGATGCGGGTTCGGTTCTTGGAGTCCCACATGCCACGAGGTATGGCCAAAACAAAACTAGGGCAGGGCATGAAGATAGCGCAATGAGGCAGAGTGAGAGTTGTGTTATTTTAAATCAAGTGGCCAGGGGAGGTGTCTCAGAGGAGGTGATAGTTGAGCAGTACCTGAATAGAGTAAAAGAGCAAGGCACAAGTTCCTGGGGAAAGGCATGCCAGGTGCAGCTAACGGGAAGCGGGAAGACCCTGAGGCTGGGATGTTTCATATTACCGCAGGGAGGCCTTTGTGGCTCCAATGTAATAAAATAGAAGGAGAATGGTAGAATGAGTTTGGGAAAGCAGCTAGGGGTCAAATGATCTAGGGCTTCATAGACCATAGTGAGTTGTGTGATTTCAATAACAGTAACAGTCAACATTGCAGAGCACGCGTTTTGCCCAGTACTACTGGGCAATCAGTATGCATTAGCTGGTAAGTGACTAGGGCTTGCTATGATTATCCACATTTAACCAATGAAGAAACAAACTAAGGCTTGGAGATGTGAGGCCCTGAGCATTTGCTCTTAGTTGCTGACAGTTTCCCACTCTCCCGGCTTGAGGATCAGTGCATGCATGTGTGTGTGCAAAGTTGCTTTAGTCATGTCCAACTCTCTGCAACCCTATGGACTATAGCCCCCTGGGCTCCTCTGTCCATGGGATTCTCCAGGCGAGAATACTGGAGTGTGTTGCCATGCCCTCCTCCAGGGGATCTTCCCGATGCAAGGATTGAACCCATGTCTCTTATATCTCTTGCACTAGCAGGCAGTTCTTTACCCCTAGTGCCACCTGGGAAGCCCTTGAGGATTGGTACTGGTCCTGGAATCTGACCTGGGAGATCAGCCTGCAGGGTTGAGGCAAGGGATTATTGTAATAGCTACACACATGCAAGACTGTGCATTAACTGGTGTATATCTTTTTTAAAATTAATTGTTAGCCACACCGTGTGGCGTGTGGGATCTTACCTTCCTGACCAGGGATCAAACCCGAATCTCCTGCATTGGAAGTGTGGAGTTTTAACCATTGGACCTCCAGGGAAGTCCCAACTGGGTGCATATCTAACAGCATGTAGGTTTGAGTCTGGGTGCTGAGGAAGGAGAGGCTGCGGAGAGAGCGCAATCCTTTCACCGCAGGCTCTTGTGCCCCCAGACCTCCGTGCTGGCCTCCACAGCACTGGCCCCTCTCCACACTGAACAACTTGTGGATGCTGGAGTCACAAAGGAGGGCTATTCACTGTAGCCCCTCCAGCCAGGAATGGTAGCTTTGTCATCTATGTAATCCTGGGATCTTATACCTCATAGTAAAGTGATTCAGTGGGTTACATACCTGAGCTGTGGCTCAGCTACTTTCCAGCTGTGTGACCTTAGGCAAGAAACTTACCTGTTCTGAACCTCAGCTTTCTCATCTGAAAAACAGCAGTAAGAATAGTAATAGTAGTAGTATCTACTTAACAGGGTCCAGATAATGCATGCAAAATGCCCAGCACAGTACCTGGCAAGTAAAAAGTGAAAGTGTTAGTCCTTCAGTCATGTCCAGCTCTTTGGGACCCTATGAACTCTAGCCCACCAGATTCCTCTGTCCATGGGATTCTCCAGGCAAGAATACTGGATTGGGTAGCCATTCACTTCTCCAGGGAATCTTCCCCACCCAGGGATTGAACCCAGGTCTCCTGCACTGCAAGCAGATTCTTTACTATCTGAGCCACCAGACACGTAAAAAGCACTCAGTAAATGTTAGCTATTAATAGGAATCGGAGCTCAATATGGGTTTGTGGAACTAAGCCCTTGAACTTCCCCACCGGGGTCTTGTCTGTCTATTCAACCTATGTATTCTGCTACCTAGCACAATGCTGCACACACAATTTAGAGCTCAATAAAAAAAAGTCAAGGTATTTAAGAAAATGAAAGTATTTGCAGCTGTAAAATGAAACAGCTAGCTTAGAAAATCCCTGAGCTCCTCCCCAGCTGAGCCAGACTAGGATTCCAGGGGGATCACAGGAGCCCCATGCAAATGGTGAGCTCCCCCAGGCCCACACTGGACCATCCTATCTTCCTCTATGGGCGTGCATGCATGCTAAGTCGCTTCCGACTCGTTGTGACCCTATGGACTTTAGCCCACCTAGCTCCTCTGTCCATGGGATTCTCCAGGCAAGAATACTGGAGTGGGTTGTTGTGCCCTCCTCCAGAGGATCTTACCAACCCAGGGATGGGACCCATGTCTGTCTACCTGCATTGGTAGGCAGGTGCTTTCCCACTAGTGCCACCTGGGAAGTCTTCTTCTATGGGCAGGGGTCCTGAAAAACATGGGTGGATGTCACTAGGTCCACCTTGGTGGCAGGTCTGGCAGAAGAGGAAGAGTGGGCCAGATTCCGTGTGGGTTCCTGGTGGGCATCCATGCAGGGAACTGGGCCCAACCTCTGCCCAACTACTTGGCAGGAGGCTGGGACTGTTCCAGGGCCCATGAAGGGTAACTGGAAGGCCCATAGATAGTAACTGGAAGAATCTGAGGCTGAAGTTATATTCTCTGATGACAGCAAGCTGCCTCCCCACGACCCTTCCTGACTCTGGGTCTGTCTTCTCCGTAAGATGAGCAAAAAACGCCTACGTTTTTATGCAGCATATCTTATCACAGCTGTAATCAATTACAAGCTTAGTGTCTGCCTTCCCTCCACCCCCAGAATGGAAGTTCCATGAAGACAGGCTAGGTCTGTCTTGCTCACTGTTTTGAGCAGTGGCTTGACATCAGAAATATGCACCATCTCTTGTAGGGACAGAGGGAGGGAAGGAGGGAGGAGGGGAAACTGAGTGGGCCAAGGGAGACTAGATTCTTATTACCGAAGGGCTGTAGGTGGCAGGGGGTGGAGAGAAGAACCAGAATACCGTGCCCAGTCTCCAGAGGAGGCCAGGAGAGTGGGTTGAGATTGCTGATCCACATCTTCGGGACAGTGGGTCCTCAGCTCAGAAAACCAAACTTGTGTTTGTGCTCTGGACTCACTCTTTCCAAGCTCTGGGGCCTTTCCTTGGGGGGAGGTGGGCAGAGGTGGGAGACCTCCCTGCCCCCACCCCCATTCCTCTACCCCAGCAGGGTCTCAGGAGGTAGTTTGTTTCCCCCTTTCTCCTGCACAAAGCTTGATTGCTGGCTCGCCTCTCAGTGGGATGGTTAATAAGCCCTTGGGTGACATTAATTGCCAGCAGGCATTAGGGGCCTAATGAGAATCACCTGCCTTGACGACTCCAGCACCTTCCATCCCCAGGGCCTCCGAGGGCCAGTCCAGCCCACCCCACGCTGCACCCCGGAGCTCCAGACAGATGGGGGGGGCGGTGTTGGGAGCCCCCGCAGGCCCCAGTACTGAGCTGAGGAGCCACAGCCAGCAGGCAGGGAGGAGGGAGGCTTCTAAGAACTGTTCGAGCCCATTTTCCAGACAGGATGTCACTTTTCTAGATGAAAAGGACACTCACCGTGTCCGAGGTCTAGGACCAGTCGAGCAGATTGAGGGACAGAGGGGAAGCACCCCAGGGGGACTTGCTCTGCCTGCCTCTACCCACACTCTCAGTCAGGATGGGTGAAGAAGTTTGGGGGGGTGACCCTAAAGGTCCATACACCACCGCCCCCTCCCGGAAAGAGCTATGTCCATAGGACTGAAGACCCTCTTCCTCCGGAGTAGAGTGGGACTGAGACCCAGCCCTTGAAGGGTTGGGGCTTGATACCCAGCGAGACTATAAAATCATTTCTATTGATCCGATGCCTGGCTGACAGCTGACGGTTGACTTGTCTGGTCTGATCTGGGTTGCGCTCTAATGGAACCGGCCTGACGTGGGAGAGAACGCCATCCCAGCCCCCCTCCCCACCCCCATCAGCAGGTGCCTGGGCGAGTGTGCAGAAGGGCAGTTTCCCACCCCCACCCCACGTCCCTTTAAAGGTTAGCAAAACAAGTTGTGGGAAGGCACGTTCCCTCCTCTCCGCGCCCCCTCCAACCCCAGCACCGTAGAGGTTTTCCGGGACCGGTACCCCGGACACCATCCCCAAACGAAGCTGGGCGCGGCGGCCCGGCTGATTCCCACCCGGGGCTCCGGAGAGACCCCACGCCCAGACTCTGGGGGTGCAGATAGGGTACCCTCGCCCCGCGCCTCTGGCCGAGAGACTGCAAAACAGCTCTGGCGCCCGGCGAAGAGCGAGCATCCTTTGAAAAGGGACAGCGGGCGGCTGCGGTTGGCGTCTACCCGGGGCGAAATGCGGCCGCCGCAGCCGGCCGGCGGGCCCCACTCGGGTCCCAGCGCTAGCCTACACTGGGGAGGAAAAAAATAAAACCTTAAACAGGGGATCGCGGAATCGCGAGGTCGGCCCTAGCCCAAGTCTCATTAAGGAGCCGCGCGCGCCCCCAGGCTGGGAATGCGGAATGGACACGTGGACCAGGGAGGGGGAGTTCGGGCGGAGGTGGGGGGGGGGGTCTCCGTGGCGCGCGAGTCGTGGGCCGCGCGCTCCGAGGCCACGTGACCACGGGGAATCTGGGAGGGGAGGGGAGCGAGCGAGCGCGCCCGGCTCGGCGCCCGCTGCCGCCGCCGGGGTGGGCGCTCGATCCCGGACAGGGGAGGAGGGCGGGCGAGCGCTAGTGTGTGTGTCTCTCTCTAGTCATTTACGGCCGAGCAGCCGGCGCGATCGCCGAGGAGGCGGCGGCGGCTGCTTCGTGCAACTGTGGCTCCCCCACTCCGCCCCACCTCCTCTTCCTTTTTGCTCCTTGATTTTTCTTCTCCCCCCCCCAACATTCGTCCATGGGGAGCCGGCCCTCCTGCCGGCACCTCCTCTCCGCTTGGCCCGGTAGGCACCAGCTGCCGCCTCCCCGGCCGCGGGTTGCGCCGGCGCCCGGTGCCCCGGCCCCTGGCGTGGCTCCCGCGTCTCGCCGCCCGCAGCCCAGCCTGGCGCGGCGCTCCGCTCACCCAAACTGACTCGGCGAGAGGGAGAGAGAGCGCGAGCGGATGCCCGGCTGCACCGAGACCTCGGGCGTCCGGGGGCAGGGCGGGGGCGGCGGGGAGAAGGAGGCGTCGGATACTCTGAACCCCGGAAAAGTTCAAGGTTTGTGCAGGCTCCCCCGGGGAAGGCGAGGAGCGCAGCGGAGCAGCGCGCCCCTCGGCTGAGACAGCGAGACCCGGGAGGAGAGGGAGGCGACCCGGGGTTGCCGCGGGCTGGCCGAGCCCCTCTCCATCCCACTACGCTCGCGGCCAGGAGGCTGGAGTCGGCGCCCGAGGCAGGAAAGGCTGGGCTCGGGCGATGTAGCCCGCCTTCCTGCTCCGTAGCTTCTCCAAACCCCGTCTCCATGGGGCAGCTCGTTCCGGCCGCCCCACCCTCGCCCCAGCCGCGGTGCCGCTGCCCGGGCAGGCGGCGCTGAGCCTGCCCGTGTGGAGCCCGGGCCCTGGTCGAGACTGGAGGGAGCGCCAAGCAAGGGAGCTCGGCGAGGGGACCAGCCGCTGGCCGCCCACCCCGGGGCCCTCGGTGCGGGCGTTGTCTAGGGTCGTGGCGACCCGCGCTGACGGTCTCAGCACTGCACGGAAACTTTTCCTTCTCTAGATGGATTAAAGTTGCTTGGATTTTCTCTTTCATTGCGAAAGAAATTATTCATTTGCGCCTAACCTGGGATTTTTATGCCGGACCTGCTGCTGCTGTTGCAAGCTGTTCGGGAGGAAGAAAACCGCGCTATCCATGTGGGGTTACTACCGAAACCTAGGAAACTGGGACTTGCTTTGGAAATCTACATCCTCCAGCGAGTTCGGATTCGAGCTGGGCCGCGGGGCTGGGGAAACGGACACTGGGCTCTAGGCAAGCCTGCGAGACGCTAGTGGCCACCCGGCCCGGGGACCGCACGTGCGACTCCCCCTCCCCCCCCCCCCCACTAGCCGCACTGATCCTGCAGGGGGCACCAGACGGGGGGAGTTAGAGGCTCCTCCCGCCCCGAGCGGCGCCCCCACCAGTTCCGAGGGTGTAGCCGGCGGCGCCTGGGACGCCCCCTCCCCTCAAAGTGCCCCCGAATTGCACTCCCTGGCCCCAGGAGCCTCAGCAGAGACAGCCGGACGCCCTCGGCCACCTGAAGTTGGATGTGACCAAGCCCAGCCTGGGACCAAGTCGTCGACCGCTGCCCCCTGCCGCCCCCTCCTCGGCCGGCCATGGCCCCAGGGATGCCGGGCCGCGGCGGCGCCGCCCTGCTCTGCCTCTCGGCGCTGCTCGCCCACGGTAAGTGTCGCGGCGCGGACTCGGCAGTGAAGATGCGGCGGGGACCGCTGGAGCCGGCAGACAGGAGCCTGGAGAAGACGAACCCCCCACCCCCTGGACTCGCAGCCGCCGCTCCCAGCTTAGCTTCTCAGGCTGCAGCTCGAGCTACCTCTAGCCCCCGCAAACCCTTTGGCGGGAGCGGAGGCTGCGAGCCCCGCCCTGGGGACCGAATCCGGCCCCGGAAAAGGGCGGGAGGGTGAGGGGTGTATCCCTCCAACCCACTCCGGATTAGAAAGAAAGGTCCAAACCCGGGAGTCTTGGGGGCGTGTCCACCCACGGAAATCTAAAGGGACCCGAGGGATCCGCCGGATCGCGTCCGGGCCACCCCTCCTGCCGCTCCCAACCTGGCAACCGGCGGGGCCCCGGGGGGCTGCTGGGGTCCGCGGGGATCGTGTCTACCCCGCCACTGGCGCGCAGCCGGGTGCGGGGCCGCGCCGCCCACTGCCTCGCTCCCTGCGGCGGTGTTGAAGAAGGGGAGTGGACTGACAGGGGCCCGGGGAGCCGCGGCGACTCGCCCGCCCGCCGTCCTGTGAGCTGCATCTAAATGGCCGGCTGAGCCCAGCCGGAGGGCGGGGGTCCGGGCCGCGGGCGCAGGCCGGGCCGGCGGGCGGAGGGAGCCGGCTCCGTGCTCGCTCGCTCTCGCTCGGGTTCTGCAATCTGTTGCGTCTGCTCCCCAGGCTCGCCTCGGGCTCCGCGGTAAAGCGGGTGGGAGAGGGAGGAGCCGGGGTTGGCGCGCTTTGTCAGTGGGACAGCAGGGATATGGATGGGGGCCCGAGGGTCGCGGAAGAGCACCCCCACCCCCGGAGTGGGGACTCAGATTCGACGGAAGGAGGCTGCAGCGGGCCTTACGCAAGCTGGAGGCGCTCCAGGAGGTCAGGGGCGCTGACCAAGCGGGGAGGGAGAGAGCTGGAGGTGGGGAGGAAGAATGAAGAAAGAGAGGCTCCGACCCCTCCCAACGGAGACGAACGGAGCTGGGACACACTTAGCCAACCGGCAAGGGGGTGAGGGACCTGGTTGCCCCTCGCCGAGGGGTGAGCCTGGCCATCCTGGAGAGGGGCTAGGATAGAGGGGGCGGAGGACCATCCGCAAGGGCGGAGGATCATCCGTGTGCAGCGCTCAGCTTTTGCCCACGTCGACCGGGTTCTTAGGAACCTGACCATGCGGGCCGTGAGCGCGGTCAAGGTCTCTAACCAGCGGCCTCTCTTACCCTGAAAGAATAAGAGGAATAGGCTCTGGGAATCTAGGGTCCCTAGGCTAGGAGTGGGTGGGGAACGGTCTGACTTCCCTCTACTGGTAGATTGATTCTCCCCGGCTTCAGGGGAGGGGGGTGGCTCGGGGTGGGGGCCTATTTTGCGTTCATTTCACCAAGAACAGCCAACCTCGGTGCTTTAACAGAAGAATGGGCTGGGGGAACGCAGCCGAGAACCAGAAATCTCTCGGGCCTTGCGTGCAAGACTGGGGGCTGGGGGGCAGATTGGGAGGGGACCTCTGGATGTCTGAGCACTGGAACCACGGCGGCTGTGCTTGTGACCTGTTCCCAGGGAATTTGGGGTTGCAGTAGGAAGGAAACACAGCTCAAGGCTGGGTCTAGGCATGGTTCTGCCCCCACACTCTGTGTCTTACTACCAGAATTCCCTTCCAAAAGCCCAGCGAGGGTCCTACCTCCAGGAAGCTCAGACATTCTCAGTAGGTTCCCATGTGCACCCTCCTCACCCCTGAGCCTCCTATTAAAGATTCTTTGGCCTCCCTCACCTGCCAGAATCTCACCTGCTTCCTAAAACCCAGCTCCAGTAGGGCCTCGGTGTCCTGGCTTTGCTTCTCTTGGAGTAAATCTATCTACCTTAGCTTCTCCTTAGATATCGGTGTCTTCTCTGTGCTCAGCTACTTATGGAGTAGTGGAGGCAGGTGGTGGGCTATTTCTGCCTTGTCCCCCACACTGCCAGGGTTTAGCACAGTGCCCAGAACACTCAGGGCCCTGGATGGACAGGTGATTTATTGTTGACCAGTGGCTAAGTCGTGTCCGACTCTTCACAACCCCATGGATTGTAGCCTGCCAGGCTCCTCTGCCCTTGGGATTCTCCAGGCAAGAATACTGGAGTGGAAACATATACACTAACATATGTAAAATAGGTAGCCAGTGGAAACTTGCTATACCACTCAGGGAACTCAAACTGGGGCTTTGTGACTACCTAGAGGGGTGGGATGGAGTGGGAGGTGGGGCGCGAGGCTCCAGAGGGAGGGGGCATGTGTATACCTGAGGCTGATCCGTGTTGATGTATGGCAGAAACTATCACAATATTGTAATTATCCTTCAACTAAAAATAGATTTTAAAAAAGAAAAATGTAATGTGGACACATTTTGCTGAGAAAAGAAAAGAATACTGCAGTGGGTTGCCACTTCCTTCTCCAGGGCATCTTCCCAACCCAGGGATCAAACCCTAGCGTCCTGCCTTGGCAGGTGGGTTCTTTCCCACTGCCACCAGGGAAACCCTAGACAGGTGGTTAGAAGGAAGCAATTTGAGGAGATGGAGCAGGGTCCCCCCATGGAGCAGGCATTTCCCCCTCCTGGTTTTCTGTCTCACTTTCCAAGTTTCTTCCCTGAATCCCCATCCCATGCCTCAGTCTCCGCTTCCTTAGGGGAGGGTACCAGCAGATGCTCAAAGTTTGGGAACCACCCCCAGATGGATAAGGCCAAAGAAGTTCCTTCCCCCATAATATCATCTTCCCTGGACCTTCCTCCTTCAGGAATATCTAACACCTGCCCACCAGAAGCATGCCTATATCAGGAAAAGGGTACATGGATTTAGTCTCATTTCAAACTCACTCTTGGTTGAGTTCTGGGCTCTTCGAAGATGCTGGGGTGGAGGTGGGGGTGCAATTGTAGCTGTTCATGCCTGGCAGGCTCCTGAGGCCACAGGGCTCTGACCACACAGCCAGACTGGGAGCCAAACAGCCTGGGTTTCTGACTCTGGCACCATCGGGTGGGGTGACCTTGGGCTGCCTCCCTCATGTCCCCCATCTTTCCCAAGCAGTGTGGCCTCTGGCCCATCCCTCCCCTCCTCACTGTCTGTCAAGACTCCCGGGCCAATGACGTCTGTGAACAGAGTCCTGCTACCTTTCAGGGCCCGGCTCAGCCCCGGGGTGGCAGTCCCTACACTGCTGTCACCGTCAAGGCTTCTACCAGAAGCCATCTGAGAAGGCTACTTCCCTGCATCTGGTCCCTGGGGAGGCCTTCTGCTCCATTTTTAGTTTGGATAGAAGTTTAGTGAGGCATGGTGGTGGTTTAACCTACTCAAGGACTGATTGTGTCAGCTTCCCACTCAGTAGCCCTCACTGGTTCCCCACTGCCTGTACGATCAAGGGTACACTCTTTGCCTTCTTAACATACAAAGCGTTTTCTGTTCATGTCTCAATTTACATCTTCACTTCTGTGGTACTGTCCTCTCTTCATCCTCCATGCATCTTATGAGGTATCATTCTTCTCACCTTCCTGTCTTTCTGCTTTTGCACCCACCAGCCCCTGTCTATCTGGAATACCTTGCCTTCAGAAAGCCTTACCTTGCCTTCAAAGCCCAACTGAAATGTCACCTCCTCCAGGGAGTCTGCCTAGATTACTCCTTGGCTTCTCATCAGCAGCATCAAACCCCCAACAGAAATAACTGGTCTCTTTCTGGTGCTGCTTTGGCCCCTCATGCCACCTTCCCAGCACTCCTCAGGGACAGCAGTGTGTGTGTGAAGGGTATGTGTGGGCATATTTATGGTCATATTTATATGTGTACCCTTCCTCATCCCCACATACTTGCATTTAGGGCAGGAGCCATGTCTTGTTTTTGCTCCACTCTCCAGTGGTGGGAAGACAACTCTATTATGGGGCCCTCACAGTATTAATTGCAACTGGAGCTCTGGGGTGTGGAGCATAAGAGGGCAGAGGGAAGAGACAGAGACACCAAGAAGAGAGTCAGGGGGTGGGGCAGGACTGTGCCACACCCCTTAAGTGGCATATACAGGATACACATGTCTGGGGTGACATTATATAACACAGATGTGAAGGTAATGTCTCATGATGCTCTGAATACGTGATCTCAAGTGCCTATGTCCTCACCTTTGTGGTCACCAGCCCGGCTTCTCTTCGGGCTGTGCCTGTGCTCTCCCCACCCCACTGATCACCCAAGCTCTGGGCCCCTTTGGAGATGCAGGAAGGACATTCAGGAGGACAGGGTCACTGCTGGCCTTGGGAGGCTCCCTCGCTGCTGGAAGTGAGAAATGGTGCTCCCCCGCACCCCCCAACACCCACACCCATCTTCCAGGCCACATGGAGCCCTACACAACACAGCCTTAGTTAATGTTTAAGACCAGTAGGTGGGGATGTGTTATAAACTTGGTGGCAGAAAATGAGCTTTATTGGAATCCATTCTGAAGATAGCTCAATGCTTGGCTGCAGGAGGTAAGGCCACTTTGGAATACCAGGGCGGGACCTGGGCATCTCCTAGGTCCTCAGTGGGGGCCTGTCTGAAACTGATAGACCCCCAAGCCTGAGATCAGTTGTAAGTACTTGTGATGCTGCAGACTCTGAGACCTAGAGAGGCATCAGGGCAGAGGGATGGAGTGGCCGGGGGAGGGGGTCTCTCTTTGTTGCCCTGCTCACAGTGATGTCCATTCACAACCCTGCAACTAAAAGAGATCACAGAAGCTGCAATCCAGCCCTCGTGTGGAGGTGGAAATGGACACTCGGGGAAGGACCAGCCAAGGTCATCCTGCCAGTTCATTCTGGAAGAACTAGCACCGGAGTCCAGCTTTCGAGACTGGCAGTCTGCTCCTGGCCCCTCGGCAGAAGTTCTATCTCTTCCGTCATACCCTCTGTCTGCGGCTTTGGCTTCGTGCAAAGATACACTTCCAGCCTCAAGCTAGCCTCGGGTCCCACACAGTCAAGATAATCAATCACCAGTAGTGTTAATAAACCT